GTCTGCTCAAAAAATTATTCATCTATAAAAATGTGTTATGCTTGATACTCTTTCAACTAATGTTTCCATTTTCTTGTCGTTTTTGGCTAACTAGCAGTCGAGAAACTGCTGATGGCTCATCCGGGTAATTCCTGGGAATCAGGAAATACTTTTATCATAGAGGTAACTCTAAGACTAGAAGGTCCCGAAATAACGTGCTCAACTTTTTGGCTCAGCTCTGGTACTTTCTTCGGTCCCAAGCTAATCGATTCACCCCTCGAAACATAGGAAAATCCACTAACCCCTCATTTTATGTGTCAAACTTTCATAGCGAATCAAAACAAATATAGTGTAGTACTAGAATTTCGACTAGAATGGGGTACGTTAATCGTTTGCTTGGACCAATAGGCTAGTCAAGTAGTGAGCCAATTTAAAATCGTTAGATTCGTATTGATTGTTGCTTTTATTCAGTGAACTCCATGTTAATTTTATAACTTTCTGAAGTTTTTTTTCTTCCCTTGGAAGTTTATTGCATCTTTCCCCTGGAATTTTCATCCACGTTACCCTGTAGGTTATGTTTTGTTTTCAGCTTCCCGAAACTTCAGGGATGCTTCCAGAGTTTACTTGCTTTTCTATTAGCTTCAAGAAAACTGCAGGAACTTTTAAGAAGTTCTGCATCTTCAGAAAACTCCAGACTTTTGGGTAAGTTTTAAGATCTGTTAGGGTAAGTTCCGATAAATTAAAGACAGGTGTCGTGACGGCAGCCTTTCCGTACTTCAATGCACATCCAATCGTCTCAACTATCGTTAACAGAATCAGAAACGTAGTTACAGACGACATACTGGCGAAGAAATCCATTAAAATAATGTGGTTCACTGTAATAGAATTTTCTTGGAAGCTTGTGCCATCATCCACCAGATGGGTTAGTTTTTTTGTTTTGATTTGAACAAAGTTGATTTTGTGTACAATGATTCTTTGACAGTGTGCAAAGAGTGCGTATCATTTTGTCATTTTTTTATGCATTTCAGTTTTGAGTAGAGTGAATGAGATAGAACCAAAACATTCTAGTACATTTGCTGAAAATGCTAGTTCAATCTAATAGTAGTGTTGCCATGTGGTACAATCCAGTAGTAGTGGTGTTGCCATGTGGTACACTGAAAAATTGAAATAGCAGGTTAGTCACCAAAGTTTTCGAGCCGCTCCGTTTGTCACTTCGTTTGTGACAGAATGCTCGAAATTCATTAAAAGCTTTCCGTTGATGCGATGTGCGGGTCGACTTTCACGAGGTTCGAGTTCAGAGCTTTTTCTCTCTCTTTATTTCAACACGAACATAAAGCTCGATCGTATCCGTTATACGGTATTCGTTTTCCGCATATAACCGATTATCATTCAGTTTCGATCGTTTGTTTCGTTATCGTTAGGGGTGTATCCACGTTTGAATAGCGCGTTCGTTGCACGTTCAAATAAATAGCATCATTTTATTCATAATATAACCTACATCTACTACAACAGGTTCATTAACTTTTGTTAAAAATCGAGAACCTATGAAGTTCAGAAAAGTCCAAAGAGCTTCAGAGAAATTTAATGGTATTCAGGACAGTAAATTGAACAGATCAATTAATTTCTATTAAACTACAGAAACCTGAATGGAGCTCCGAGAAACTTAGGGGATGTCCATAAACTTCAGCTAAGTTCCAAGGTTCATGAACATTTTGGAAACGTAAAGGAAGTAACATGAACATTAGAAAAATGTGAGAATACTTTAAGGGAAGGTTCGTGCATTTTAATGGCAGTTTCTAAAACTTTTTAGAATGAAAATTAAATCGGGTAGATCAAAGAGCTTCAATGTTGATGTTAAATTAAGTTCAATTAAATTGTGGGAGTACTTAAAAAGTTTCAAAATGTTCCAGAAAGTCCAGAGGCCTTCAAAGAAGATTAGAGATTTTCCGGTAGTTTCATTATAATCAGGGAAGTTCCAAATACTTCTAGGATGATCAGAAGAGAACTACAAAACAGCACAAATATAGTAACTTCAGGAAAATTGTAAGAACTTTAAAGGAGGATGATGGGTTTTTCCAAGTGTATTTCAGGAATATTCCGAAAACTTCAGGTACATTGCGGGGTCGTCAGGTATGTTTTATAAATATCAGGAAAATTTCTGAATCATTAGAACATGTAAGGAACTTCAGAGAATGTTGTTCAAACATCCCCGAGAAATCTCTTTCTTCCGGAATTTTTTCCCAACTTATCCTGGAAATCTCTTTCGATTGTCACTCTGGCTTGGACTTTCTCCAAAAGTTTATTCCAATCTACCTTACGAAGTTTCTTCCAGCGTCTCTAGGAAGCTTCATCCATCTTCTCAACAAGGTTCAATTAAATTTATACCGAATGTATCTGTAGACATTTCTTTCGTCTTCTTCTGGAAGTTTCTCCATAAGCGATAAGTTCCTAGAGTTTTTTCGACTTCCAATAGAAAGTTTTTCTGAGCTTCTTCTGCGCTTCCCCTGGAAATGACTACTCCTGGAATTTGTTTCCGAATTCCGAATATTTTCTGGCTTCCTATGGATGTGTCATCCGATCTTTTTTCCGAAAGGTTCTTCAAATTTTCGTCAAAAGTTTTTATATTTGTCTCGGAAGTTCCCGGATGTTTTTCCGACATTTCTTAGAACTTCTTCAAACTTCCTCCGGAAGAGCTTCTTTATTCTTTCTCTGGGTTTTTTCGGCTTCCTTCAGAAACTAATTTAAACATTTCCTGGAAACTTCATCCGACTTCTACTGCAAAGCAAAATTTTCGTTCTTAGTCCAAAAGTTTGAATTTTCGCCTTCAATAACGGTAAAAATATTAATTTAATTTAAAAAATAGAATACCGATAAATGCCGATTTTTTAATACATTTGATACCGATAATATTGAAAACAATCTGGTAACGTTGATGCATGTTTCGGATCAAGCGGCGCCAATGGTGTAGTGGTAAGCGTGATTACCTCTCACTCCAGAAGTCCTGGGTTCAATCCCAGTCGGCGCCGCCGGGATGTTCTGAGGCATAAAATCTCTGATCACGCCTTCCTTCGGAAGGGAAGTAAGGCCGTTGGACCCCGGTTCATGAGTTGATGGGTCGATAGGTAGGGTCCAGGTGTAGGATCTGCCTCCTACAACAAATCAAGGAAAAAAAATGTTTCGGATCAACCAGAAATGCCTTCTTCGGCGCTTGCTTCAGCCCTCCTTCACGCTGCCCAACTAGCACTGTATCTTCTCCTTTCAGGATATGGCACTCCGTTTTCCCAAACAGCACCCGAAAACCCAAATCTGTGATTTTACTCACCGACAGCAGGTTACCAGCGAGCGATGGAACATGCAGGACGTTTTCGAGCCCAACGTTCATCCTGATGCCATCTCCGTTCAAGAAGACTAGCTTACCGATACCACTTCCAGCTGACTTGATGGATTTTCCATCCGCCAGGCAGACCGCCATTGCCTTAGATTGGGGTGGCCTAGGTACTTCCCCCAAAGTCGTTCGGATTTGGGTGAAACAAAACAACAAAAAGAAAATGCAATTTTAGACGTATATTATCCACTTATCTATGTCCTCCTTGCTGTTGCTGCTGCTGTTCGGTGGGGCCCTTCGATGGCGGCCTGGCGGCGGTTCTGCTGCTACAAAGCACGGCCTGTGCTGAGCGGTCTTGTTCTTCGTCTATTGGATACCCCCCCACCCCGGCGACGTTGGTGACGAATCACCGGATTGCCTACTCGCCGTAGGCTACCCCGGCAGACACCGCAGTGTTTCTGCCCAGACAAACTTTTTTTTTTATAATACGGGCCTTATTACGGGTGTCACTACACGGTGATAAGGAAGTGATACTCATAATAAGAGCCGTGATTGCCGTACAAATCAAATGGTTTTTGGAGGTGTGTTGGTATGCATTGTTCCATTTCACAGTTTCACATTTTTGTTTAATTTTAGGATTGTCAAATTATCATATTGAATCGATGAATTTCATTAAATCAAACATTCTTATTTTAAGTTACCAAAATCAGAACACGATTTTTTTTGTCTAAAGGAAGTAGCATTTGGAGGTAGCATGGACATTTTCGGCACCCACAGATACACATTTTCATAAATACTAAACGTGTCATTCTTCTCATCACATATCAACAAATTCGTTAAACTATCAGACTTCATTTGAACTTCACTGCTGCTGGCATGGTATATTCCATCCTGCAAGATGGCTTCCAAATTCAACGTGGGACTCCTGCTGTACACGTGCTCCCCTCCTCGGTTCGCTTCCACATCAACGACGAAAACGCTGACCGCCGCCGTGCGAGCTTTCGGGCTCAGACTGGCCATCGGGATGATGTTGGCCATCTGTGAGATCGATCCCTTAACACCCTTCAAGTACGAGCCAAACGTGCAGAGGTAGAGCTACCGAATTCAAATCAAACGTCAAACTGATTATTTAAAGCAACCGATGAATGGAGAACTGGAACGGAAATTGAAAATGGTCAGTTTAATGATCTCACCAGCGCGCACAGGCAGCAGAACGCGATAGCCCATATCAGGGCGGGATGCGAGCAGAACATGCTGTAAGTAGCGTTCGAATCCGAGCAGCATCCGATCGTGACTGAACCCACCATAGCAAGAACAGCAGCAGGCCTGGTCTGCTCCGAGCGCAAGACAAACCGTAGTGTGGCAGGCCCTGGTTGCGGCACAAGCAAGCGATTAGCGTTCTAAATTAGGTGGACTCATTGACAGCACCGAGACCGAACCCGTCATTCTGGGTGTTTCTGATAAGAATTATCACTAAGTCGAAGAACATTAATTTTTTTTTATTTCGGATGCTGCACGGCACGCGGAATGTTTGACATTGTTGTTGATCCGTTGAGTAATTGGGGTTGTTTTTTTTTTGGATTGTTGGATGAATGGGAGAATAGGAAATGCAAAACAAGTGAAAAATCAATTTGCAAACTTCGCGCGTGTTAGCAGGGTAGGGTGATAGTCATCGGGGACGAAAATGGTTCGAATGTTTTTGGTTTTATTTAAATTTATTCTAACATTTCAACAGTGATTGAAATAACATTTGAATAACATTATATTTCATTTTTTCTTGCTTTCATTTCTCTTCCTCTCTGTGTTTCTTTTTTCTTCAGTTTAGAGTGTGTTTCTAGTTTTATCTGTTCACATCGGTTGATTTTCTCTCTTCATCGAATTGATTGGTTACGCGTTCTAATCTTTGTCTTTTTTTTTGTCTGTTTATGTTGGTTGGTTGATTGAATGGAGACGTGTTACTGGATAACGCGCTCGCAAATGGAATTTACTGCTTTAAACTGTTTCTATACTACAAATACAAATACAGAAGGAGCATACAACTCTACGATCGGAATTAAATTAAAATCTCGGATGGAATGGTATATTGGAGGGGTAAAAAGGTGGTCCGAAAACATTTGAATGTTGATTAGGTCGTAATAGCGTTCAAGAACTTGTGCTTCAAATTATTCACTTTTGGCTCAATGGCTGCGTTGTTCAACTCTTATAGTTCTTTTGTGTAACTATGGAAACCATGGTAATCATTAACCTTTGCGGGTCTAACGTCTAAATTTGCATAGATTTAATATTTTCTCACTCAAATTATGTAATTGGACCATTTACGGCTTACCGATGATCCATGATCACATTGATCATCCCGGAATAGTTCCGGTGCCCCAGAGAAAGCGGCTATTTCTCTACAAGAACCAAACTCAAGGGGTAGGTCACTCCGCACACCAATCTTGGTTCATCTTGTTTGTCAGTGTGCCGCAAGTGCGCTGCAGGTGTGCCGGTCATAGAGCAAGCTGCGATTGTTTGTAAAATCCTGGCAACCCGGTATTTCTGACACTTTGAATGTTTTGGTTTTTCAAGCAAGGATAAACCGGGTTGTGGATGACGCGGGAAGTGGCTGGTGTGCGAAATGTTGGTGCTTTATGTTCATAGGGTGATAAAAGTTCTGTATTTTAGTGTTTTATAATGCCCTCAAAGGCAGACCAAAACCTAGCTTTTTGTGATGTGAAATGCATCGGTCTATAAGCGGCCGGAAAGAGTTGGAACCAGTGGGAAGCATTATAGGAGACCGACTATAGAGGATGATGAATAGACTTCTTTAATTTATTTTGTGTGATTTGCAGCATTATTTGAATTAAGGGTACTAATGGGGTGTGATTAACTGCCTCTTTTTCTTGAGCCCACTCTAGAACCTACATTTCGCATTTAGATCTATCATTGAACTGCTGGTCTGAGTTCCTCATCAGTCAAACAGCACGGAATGTTGTGAACAACTTCAATGAAAGTTGTCCAGCAGTGCTCCCATTTTATTTACAGCAATCCAATGCCTACGAAATTGTGCCGAAGGTGTGCCCAAGCTGTGTCGAATCTAATTTCGGCACAATGTGCTGAGTGACTTACCCCTTGACCAAACCTGTAGTGTAGCGGGAATCGAAATCAACGATTCAGATAAAGATAAAGTCATTCTCATTTTGGTTACACTCATGATCAGTACAAACCCAAAAAACACAACGGACAGTTCTGGAACCGATAATGCGATTATCATTTGTGTTACAGGTCACGATCATATGAAATAGCGATAATCTCCGATCATCATCATCAAGTTTTGTCACTGAAAATTCCCCATGCAAGACAATGAGTATTTTCGGAACAGTAGATCGAAAATCGATGTCCGCCGCCATTTAGAAATCCAGGATGGTGGCCATCGATTTAGAGAAAAAAAAACTGTTAATGTTCTACAATATTGATATTTTTGGAACTGGGATGACATGCAGATGTAGGAAACTTACTTCTGCCATCATTTTGGAATCCAAGATGGTGGCCATTGGTTTTAGAAAAAATACGCGTTCTTTTTGAAACGGAGATGACATGTAGATGATTGAAATCGATGTCCGCTGCCATTTTGAAATCCAAGATGGCAGCCATTGAATTCATAACAACTTTCATGGCCTTATTGACAGTCCACAGTCACACTAGCCCTTCCGGGCATGTTCCGGTACCCCCGGGGAAGTGGCAAATTGATAGAAGCGTCTACTCAAGATAGAGTGCAAGTAACGAATGAAGTTTGATTGAACAATTATTTCAACGCTTACTATGTTCGAACATGCCCCTTTTAGCGGGAAATCCTGAATTCCTAACATTTTTCTATCTTCAAACAGCTTTGTGTTCGCTTGTGCTTTCGTGAAGATAACTGCTGCCTGAAGGATTGATGGGACATAATTCAATGTAATAGCTTTACAATCTAATCGTTATCGATCTCGTACATAATGATGCCTTATGTCGATATGCTTGCTTCTTGAAGAGTAGCCGATATCCTTCTCCGCGAGACTTATAACGCTCTTGTTATCGCAGTTGATCGAAACGGAAATTTCAACACCGCGAAGCTCTTGCAGGAATCCCCTCAACCATGCCGCTTCCACGGTGGCAGAAGAGAGTACCATATATTCAGCCTCTGTGGTGGAAAGTACGACGGTGGACTGCCTCTTCCAGCTCCACTTTGCAGGAACACGTAGCCGGTAATGGAACGCTAAGTTTCGACGTCGTTCGCCCAATTCGCATCGCTGTATGCTTGGAAGTTCTGCTCGCAGTCGGCCCGATACACCAGCTGCTCCAGGTTCATGGCTGAAGCTGCTGACGACACTCACCGCGTGGTTGATATCTGACTGAGTGCTTTGCGCCACACACTGCAAACCAGCGAAGAGTTACTTGAACGGAGTGCTTCTCATCTTCTCTTTCTCTTCCACAGATTCGGGTTGCATCACTTTCGTCAACTTTTGGTTCACGTCCAGGGGTGACGATATGGAGTTGGATCCCTCCATCCGGAATCGCTGCAGAAGTTTGTCAATATAATGCTCCTGGTCTATGGCTACAATGGCATCGGATCGGTTGACCGGCAGTCCCAAGATCTGCTTGACGCCCCCCAGGTCCTTAATTTGGAACTCGCTTGATCGTTGGAAAACAGTAGAAAGTCGTCCACATAGACAGAAATGATAATCACCTTTCCGTTGCCGAACCGGAAGTACATGCAGGAGTCATATTTAGATCGCTGGAACCCAATCGCCTTGAGTTTCCGATTCACCTTCTGGTTCCAGACATGGCTCGCCTGCTTCAACCCGTACAACCTTCGTCGGTGCACGCGCGTCCCGAAACCCTTCCGGTTGATCCATGTAGATCTCCTCTCCATAAAGTTTACACTGCAAGAATGCAGTCACCGCATACATATGGCACACCAGCAGATCGTATTTGGCCGCAATTTCCAAGAGGTAGCGCACGGTTGCATACCGTACCACCGGAGAATACGTGACGTCGTAATGCTCGCGTTTGACTGGGGAATACCCTTTAATCCCGGTCGGGCCTTATGTCGTTCGATGAAGCCATCCGGACCCGTCTTCAGCGCATACACCCACTTATTTTTGAGTGCTCTCCGTCCCGCCGGTAGATCGACGAGGTCCCATGTGTCGTTATCGCACAACGACCGATGCTCGGCCTCCATTGCACCGATCCAGTCATCGCGGTCCGGTCGTTCCAATGCTTGCTGAAGCGTATCGCGTTCGCTAGAAATCTGTGGAGTAGAGGATTGCGGATGCATACTCCAAGCCACTATGCCCAGAATCGTGTTGCGATCCAACATATTCTTCCTTTTCGTGTGACGGGAACGCAGTGATGAATGTCCGATCCGAAAACTCGTTGATTTGAAACATCTGGCTACGTTCCAGTGAATTCTTCAATTGGTGTGATTCTATTACCTTTTGTTGGCGATCTATTAATCAAGTACACCACCGTTGAGGTTGCTTCAGCCCAGAACCGCTTGTCCAATCCAGCATCGAAGAGCAAACATCTGGGGCGTTCTTCGATCGTCCGGTTCATCCTTTCCTCAAGTCTGTTTTGTTGCGGATTGTAGGCAACCGAGGTCTCGTTACGGATGCCGCATACCTTCAAGAACTGCTCGAATTTATTTCCGACATACTCCGCTTCATAGATTTGCCTGTCTGCTTCTCGACATACGCTTTAAATTCCACGAACGCATCAAATGCCTCAGCTTTGGATTTCAGGAAGTAAGTGTGTGTCGCCTACTCACCGACTTGAACGATTGCTTGAGGTGCTTACCTACAGCACACTCGATGCTCGTTCTCGATCCCAGCAACCATTGACGGCCAGATTTAGGTGGCCGAACCATTTATGCCACAACTCCAGGTTCTCCCAGGGTTTTGCCATGAATGCCCTGCTTCAGCTTGTATAGCCCATCCACCTCCGTACCGTTAGGGATGATCTCACCGATGGTACTCGTTGACTACCTCGCAAAAGTTCCTCGAGAAATTGATCCGGTACCCTTTCTTGCAAATACGGCTCACCGAAAGCAGGTTGACCGCTAGGTCTGGAACGAACAGAACATCAGCGATATCTAGAGTACTGCACATACTTTTTACATCGGCATCCAGTTTGACGCTGCCGACGGCCGGAACAGGAACATCGGTTGAATTGGCCGCAAAAATGCTCTCCGAGACATCTTTCTGATTGATAACCGCTTGCTCGGATTTACACATGTGCCGTCCTGTTCCTGCATCCAAAATCCAGTCTTCCGTCTCCAGCTTCGGTATCATGCACGCCATCAAAGCCGTTCACTCTCAATGTGTGTCACGCGATCGTCTGTTTACTCGGCAGCAACCATTGTGTGGTCCTCCTCAGCAGTTCTTTCAGTTGATGCCGAGGTCGATGCGTCGTCGACTTTGGAAAGCAACCGTTTCGTGATGAATGTGTGAGTGCTGACCATGTTTTGCGTCCATTGCTGCAATGGAAGCGCTCTGACCCCCGTTGACGATAGTGCCATACAATGGAACCACTGGAAGCGGCTCCTGTTCTGGTGGAGGAGGCTTATTGGATAGCAGAAGATAAAATGTTTATTGTGTTGTACCTTTTGACTATAGTTTTAAGATATATTGTGTAGTGAACAAGAATCCTCGGCTCTGTAAAGATAATTCGATTGAGCCTTATCAAATAAATTAATAAACAAACAAATCAAAGCCGTTTGCTTTCCGTGGAATCCTTTCTCGGGCTTCGACTTCAGCTTCACCTGGCACTCGGACGCGTAGTGCCCAAGCTTGTCGCATTTGAAACATTTTACACCGGACTTATCCTTCTTCTTCTTCTGGAACTTACTTTCACGAGTGGCTAGTAAACCTTTGGGAGGCCGATGAGCAGCAACCATTCGTCATCGAACACGAAACCAATTTCGTCAACGTACTCCTCGACTGACGAACAATCTTCCAGCTCCAGCCTTGTCAACTTCTTCAGCAAGTTTATCTTCCGGTACCGTCCGCAGTCTGGAAACGCCGTTTTCAGACTGTTCCAGGCCTCCTTCGCAGTCTTGGCCCGCTGGACAAGGCTGTAGTGGAACGGTTCAATACGAAGGCAGATGGTTGCCAAGTCCGACAAATCCTGGTTGACTTGAACACCTTCCGGGGAATATACTGCGTGCCTCACGGATCATCACTATTCGCATCGCAAAGGTCCAGGTCACGTAATTCTCCCGTCCTTTGAGTTTCTGCACCACCGGAAGCGAAATACTGCCGCTTGAAATCCTCAAACCGCTCACCACCGGCGCATTCTGACTTGAAGTGCCACCAGTTCGTCCCATGGCTTCGCTTCTTCGGTGACTTCGAGAAGAAGAAAATCTCTTTCGGCCGGTAACAACAGCCGTAATACCTTGTACAGACATACAAAGTTCACTCTTGTACTACCGTTGTACTGCTTTAAGCTAGTACCACAAATTGTACGTTTTGAGGTACTAGATTAAAGAAGTACAACGGTACTAATTTGTATGTCTGTCTGTGGTATACCCAACAATCAATACGAAACTAACGATTTTAAATTGGCTCACCACTTTAGTAGCCTATTGGTCCCAAGCAAACGATTAACGTACCCTATTCTAGTTGAAATTCTATTACTACACTATGTTTGTTTTGATTCGCTATGAAAGTTTGACAGATAACATCAGGGGTGTGTGGATTCATGGAGAACATGCAGGGGTGAGTGAAATAGCTTGGGACTGCTTGGGACCGTTGTTCTGGTACTGAGTGAGCCAAAAATAATAATGATTTTCTTTGGGACCTACTAGTCTTAGAGTTACCTCTATGGTATAACTATGATGGAAACTTCCCTGATAGAAACGTCTACTTAAGTTAGAGTGCAAACAGGCTTGAGGGAGCCGTGCTCGTTAGTTTGAAATGAGCGTAGCGAAGCATTTTTTCTGAGGAGTAGAATGCCTACTGCCAAATCATTCCACTGAGCTTCAGAGCTTGTGAGCGAAGAGGGATTAAATGAGAGTGAAGTTTGCTGTCATTCATGTTCATGTTTTCTATCACACACTCTTACTCTCACTATGGATGAACTCTGAGCTTATTGCAGTCAAACAAAAATGTCATCCGGTGTGTCGAAAAGCGCACCTCACGTCAAATCATCCTCTCGCTGAAGTCCACTCTCCTTCTCTCTCAAGGAGTTTTTGTTTATGTCTTCCATATTCCTGTCGCCAGATCGTGGTAGGCCGCGATGAAAGTTTACAGCTGTACTTTTTTCGAGTGAATTTGTATGATTTTATGAAGTTTCAAACGCGGTTGATGATTTCAAAAGTATCTTTTAGTGTTCGTGATTCAGGAAAAAATCTTTAGAAATGTGTCCTAGTCGAGGGAAACCGATTCCGAAAAATGAAGTTCCGAAAAATGAAATGTCGAGGAGGGAATCCTCTGGAACCGATTCGCGAGCAAAACGGAGGTACCCGTGACTGTGTGAAAAACCTGGGTGAAGTGCATTAAGACAATTTAGAAGAAGAGTGAAGATGTCGCATACTCGCAAAGAATGGGAGAAGGAAGTTTCGTGACGGCTTTGGATAATATTGAGTATCTGGTAGAATTTGGTGAGACTTTTCCGAATCTATAATCGGTTGCTAATCTGGCCCAGGCCCAAGAGACAATTTCTAGTTCATCATTCTAGGTCCCTATTATTTGGCGCTGAGAAGCTGTGTCCCATAATTCGTCCCATCATTAGTTCCATCATTCGATGAGTCGCAGCGTTGAACCTGACTATTGGTCACGAAAAGGCTTGCCAATGCACATCAAAAATCGACTACATACATCCGAACATTTGATTATCTCAAATCGAAGGAAGACATTCCGCGCAACTACCAAAAACCGGACTAGTTCATGTTGAACTTCGTCAAGCTTCGTCTACAATTTGGACTTATACATCAACACATGTCAAGCAGCCTTCAGGTTCAATTGGCTAAAGTTGGTGAGTTCGTTCCATTTTGTAAATTTTTATCTTCTCAAACTAGTAACGTTGGGAGATCACCTTTTTGTGCTGCGTTACTGGTATAACATTTACCACCGAACTCTAGTCGTGACAACTTTAATCTAGGGAATCAGGATTTTCCAGTTATCAAAGGATCACATTTTAATCCTTGTTACTTTTTATGACTGGATAATATTGACAAGACTCGGGTAGTGACCACCACCGTTATGTATTTCTATATTGTATATTTCAAATCAAAAATGTTGCTTTGTTCATAGATTTCACATAATCCTTTTCAGAAAGCGAGTAATGGCGCTTTAGCCATAAGTCATAAAAGGCTAGGACAAGAGTTAGTGCTCATGCCCCAACCGTCAAAAGAAAATGGAGCATCACTTTCTAGTTTTGACGCTTCCAACGACCAACCAATCATATAATTCCCAAAATCGGAACGTACGGTACGAGATGTCCACGTTTCATCCTTTTATTGGATTCTGAAGCATCGTGTTTAAATCATCGATCTCGCCTTCGATTTAAACAGGCCCGATGTTTTCTGAATCATCTTGCCCCTTAAATGCTGCACAGTAAGCCTGACCATTTTGATAAGTGTGACGCATCTTTGATGTGAAACATATATCAAACAGACAAGAAAAATTATGTAGGTAGATATATCATTTTCCAGGATGCTTTCATGAACTGGCTGTGTTGGTGTTAAATTAGAGATTAGATTAGATTTCTTCCATATTCCTTCACTACTCACTCGAGGTGAGGGGTCGATAAACTCGCAGGACAAAAGTGTTTTAAAACCTCCAGTAAGTTTGAGGAGTTGCAGCAAGCCTGAGTGCAAGTAGCGAATAAAGTTTTATCGAACAATTCAAGCGTAATTATTAAGAATCGACGTATCTGCTTTTGTAAACAATTACTTCAATCTACGATTTGTCTTAACTGCTAACGCATCTACGCAAACAAACACCATCATCAGGTAGAGGAATCTTTCCCCTACTAGCTGATGTTGTTAGTTTCTGTGAGTGAGGTAGTAGTTGTCACAAATCGTCAATTGAAGTGATTGTCTACACAATCAGATACGTCGATTTGAATAGTTACGCTTGAATTATTTCAACGGTTACTATGTTCTAACACAAATCCTCGAAAAAAAAACCAAACCCGTCGTGTGACATATCAAACTTCATGATTTTACAAAACTTGGTCGGTAATGCACTCCCGGGCATGTTTTTGGTGCCCCGGGGAAGTGGCCAATTGTTGACAAGTACCAAACCCATCGTGCCATATATCAAACTTCATGAATTAAAATAGCCTCGAAAACAAAACATTTGAACTGTCAAATGAACTGAGTTGCCAAGCATGCTGTTATTCACAAGCAAACAATGTTGGTCTCGGCACTGCCGGCACACTGCGGAAAAAAGAGAGTGACCAGCTGGAATACATTTCTATATTCCTATAAGAGGGAGCACTTATCCAAAATCAGTGTGTATCTAGCTCTAAATTTTCCATTACAGCACTGGTTTGAAGAATTTCTCTGAAACTCGATGCGTGCCTTGAAAGTTTGCGGAATTTTCCTGACGAATTCTGTTTTCTGGAGTTTGCAATAATTTCCTGGGATCGCAGAACTTTATTGAAGTTCATAAAATTTTCCTTTCCGGAGATCTTCATGGAAGATTGCAGAACTTTATTAAAGTTCAGAATATCGAATAAAAGAACATGTTCAGAAATCATAGAACTTGCCAAAAAAATGGAGAAAGTGAAGCAGTTTGCTAAAATGAATCTTATCGTCCGGCCATTTTCCACAGAGATGGCGCTGTTCCGCTGGTAGGAAGTAATAAATATCTCCATATATGTTATGGGAATAATTCATTTTCGATGCATATTCAAGTCATAAAAAAATGAACGACAGCACAAAGAAATCATTCATGGACTTTACTTGTCGTTCACTTATTTCCCGGAAATTATGGTTAAACAAGCTACGAATAAATAAAAATAATTTTTCTCCAAACAGTTTTACCACCGACAAACTGACATGACACTTAATTCTGACTTCTGCCCAAAAATCGTAAACGGCCGATTTAAATGAGCAGTGATCCGAACTGTCGAAACCATAGGATTTTTTGATCTAGATAAAAATAATTTATCCACATTTGATCAGACACGAACCAATTCATAAGTTTTGCATGCTGGTTCATGGCTTAGCTAAATATTTCCCGCGAACACGGAGCCAGATGTCAATAGTGTGCTTTGGACAGAAATTTTATGGTTTTGGCTATGGTCATTCATGTCAGTTTGTCGGTGGTTTTACTACAAACGAAGTGACAGACAGACTCGAAAACTTTGGTGACGAACCTGCTATTGCAATTTTTCAGTGTACCACATGGCAAAACTATTACCATAGAGGTAACTCTAAGACCACTGGGTCCCGAAGAAAATCATTATTATTTTTGGCTCACTCAGTACCAGAACAACGGTCCCAAGCAGTCCCAAGCTATTTCACTCACCCCTGCATGTTCTGCATGAATCCACACACCCCTGATGTTATCAGTCAAACTTTCATAGCGAATCAAAACAAACATAGTGTAGTAATAGAATTTCAACTAGAATAGGGTACTTTAATCGTTTGCTTGGGACCAATAGGCTACTAAAGTGGTGAGCCAATTTAAAATCGTTAGTTTCGTATTGATTGTTGCTATTACTGGATTGTACAACATGGCAACACTAAATGTACTAGAATGTTTTGCTTCTATCTCTTTCACTTTACTCAAAACTGAAATGAATGAAAAATTACAAAATGATACACTCATTGCACGCAAAATCAACTTTGTTTAAATCAAAACAAAAATACTAGCCCATCTAGTGATGGCACAAGCTTTTAAGAAAATTCTATTACAGTGAACCACATTATTTTAATGAATGTCTTCGCCAGTTAGTCGTCTGTGACTTCGTTTGTGGTTTCACCCTCTTTACCAACCAGCCACCAGAGAGCCAAAAAATTCAAATTTGAGAGAGAAAATACACTCTCACGAGCTCAATCTCTCAACATGCGATGTATTTTGATGACGCTCTATTTGTGATTTCCCTCTCACAGACTTCATAAAAGAGTACCTAACACTGCAAAGCATGTCTGGTACCTCTATATATGCAATTTTAGATAAGCATCCGAAGTCCCTCCTTTCTACATATTCTGCACAAAATATACTGTTTGCTCCGCTCCATTCATGTAAAATCGGCGGGAAACCCTGTTAGGGACGGGGCGTAGAAAGAATTTTGTGAGCAGAATATGTAAAAAGGAGGGACTTCGAATGCTTATCTAAATGCATATACGGAGGTACCATAGAGGAAACAGCCGTACGTTAGCTCTCCATTAGAGTGATGCAAAACTTGAAATTTTCGCTCCACAATACTTAAACGATTCCAAATCGGATCCTGACTCATCTCTCAAAATTTGAACCCATTTGGTGAGAAACTGA